TATTAACATTTCGAATTTTATTTTTTCAAATTTTATTTTTATTTTGATGAATTTTATATTTTAAGTTCCAAATCATCCCATGAAGAAGAGCAATTAGAAAGTGTAATTATTGAGAAAAAAAGAAGAACATTTACATATTAATAAGTTCAAATAGGGGTGGTCGGGTGGACATGGATCCATATGATTATAGTTTCAAGAGAATTGAATCGAGCCATGAACTAATATTTTTAAATAATGGAACCAATGATTTTACTTTCTTAAGTTATGGAACCAAACAAGAATCGAACCATTCGGGTTTTGGATTGATGTGGTTCTGATTCTATTACTTCAAATTTCAAGTAATAAATGCAAATTAAAATTTATTACCATATCCATAAATATAATATATACCCCAAAAAAGAGTCAAACATTCAGCAAATATAATGGTAGCTATGGTGTATGGTGCGAGAGTGTGTCTAAAATTGAAAAGGAAATAAATGAATTAGAATTTAAATATAGGGTTTGGTCGCTTTGTGTGATAGATGATAAGGTAAAATGTAATGGTAAATGAGATTTTTCTCCATTTCACACTTGTAATTTTTGAATTTGATTTTTTTTTTTGGTTATTCATTAATTTGTAAAAACAAAAAGAAATATAAAAATTTTCGATTTTCGGTTCTGGATCTTGGTTCTAAAAATGGTTAATTCTCAATTGGTCACCGAACTTTACAAAATGTAATCATATTAATATTAGTCATTGAGCGATGGTTGCAATTATATTTTATGTGAGTTCGGTGACTAGTTGGAAAACTTTTAAAGTTCAGTGACCCATAAAAACTTTACTCAAATTTCAATGACCAATTATGGAATTAATGTTCAGTTAGTAACAGAGAACTTTTGAAGTTTAATGACTCCCTGAAAATCTTACACAGCGTTCCAATCAGGTAATTAAACCTCACTTTTTTGAAGACATGCCTGAATAAAAATGAGAAATTTATTAGATTCTTAACTGAAAATATGTAACCAATCAAGTAATTAAACCCACTTTTTTGAGGACACGCCTGAATCAAAACTAAAAAAATATTAATTTTTTAGCTGAAAATGTGTGTCAATTTCAAAGTTGATAAAAACTATTTTATCTTAGAGAGGTCAACAAAAAACTTTGTTGATTATCATGGAATGAAAGATTATTCTTTTTTCTAAATTTGGCGATACTAAAGCAAATAAAATTGTGGTGCAAGAGTACAAAAAATAAAAATTAATAAAAATGAGGGTTAATTACCTGATCGGTCAATGAACTTTGAGTAAGATTTTCATGGGGTCACTGAACTTAAAAAGCTTCCCCATTAGTCTCTGAACGTTAATTCCCCGATTAGTCACTGAACTTTACGTAAAGATCTCATAGGGTCACTAAATTCCAAAAGTTTTTCAATTAGTCACTGAACTTTAAAAATGTAATTACATCAAGTGACCAATGTGATTATATTCTGTAAAGTTCAGTAACAAACAGAAAAACTTTTAAAATTCAGTGATCACTTGAGAATTTTAATTAAACTTCAGTCACCAATCAAGGAATTAACTCGTACTTCTAATAATGCTCGACAGTGAGAATTAAATAATATGATAATAAGATAGTAAAAGCAAAAAAAGAAAAAATGATGAAACCTTATTTGTTATTATATTATTCGTGTCTCAACACAAATTGCATTGTAAAAACTACTCGTATAAAGTATAAAAGACCTTTCTAATGACGTTCCAATAATAATCTCGACCTTACAATTTATCTTTTGAACAAAATCTCTATTTTTACTTTTTATAATAATATTGTGTTTGATTGCATTTATTTTCTACAGAAAATGTTAGGGGTCGTTCTCTTTGTGTTTCAATTTTGTGTTTTGAGTTTTAAATTCATTTTGTGTTTTGTGTTTTGAGTGTTTGTTTTGA